GAAACCGAATCCGAATCTAACATTTTACAAAGAATACTCGACTCTGCCTGCATGAAAAATAACCAAATGAATGAAGACCACAACAAATACTTTATCCACACTTTCCCTAGAACAGTTGTCCCTCTATAGTCCGACGTTTTTTAATCCGACATGCTCAGTAGTCCGACGCACCTCCCGTCGCGATGTGAATCTCCCCATCCAATTCTTACTCGATGACACACATTTCGTGTGTTTTTTAATGAGAATAACATTCGTAATTTTCGGTGATAGGAAAGGTAAAGAATTCTGGAAAGAGTATTCGTCCATTCGTACTCGACAGGCGTAAACGAATAAAAGTTAAAAGCGAATAATATTAAAATGTAATAAATATATTTAATTAAATATCATTGGAAATAACATTTAAAGTATCATTTAAGTAATTTCTTGCCGATATTTACCACCGTCGTCCGTCCGTCCTTAGTTAATCTCGANTCGATGACACACATTTCGTGTGTTTTATGTGAGCAGTTCTGTTCGAACAGTTGGAGTAGAGAATATTGTAAGTTACTGCTAGCAAAACAATGCGAAATATGTAATTATTTTCGGTAATCCGGACACTTTTGGTAATCTGACACACCTTTGGTCCCATACCTGTCGGATTATCAAGGGACAACTGTATTAAGAAATAATTGGTTTTAAAAGTTACTATTGCTTTAAATTCAGAGAAATATATGCCAAAATATAATTAATTTTTTATATGAACAAAATGAATTTTTACAGAATATACAAAGCTGAGCTGAAGTTAAATTATACAGCAAATCCTCACTTAATGACTTGAAAACTGTGACATTAAAAAAAAAAAAAAATGGTGAAATCAATTTTACTATAAGCTAATTGATACAGACAAGATATATCCACATTGGCCCAAATATTCATTAATGTTTTATCCCAGTTTTAAAGGAGCAAAACTTACTCTCAACACTATATTTGAGCCTTGACTTAAATTCAAGTTCAATTAAAATTTTCTTTGTACTACATACAGTTATAAAAATCAGAGTTAAACTGATAAAATTAATTCAGCATGTCAATTGTTTAACAATGCTAAATATCGGCCAAGTTGTGACCCATGTAAAAAACTAAATGTTTGGTGTGATTGTAAATAATCAATTAGTTGATCTTTTGGAACAATTGAATAATCTAACCCAACTGTTTTTAATCAGATACCAAAACTGACTAATTCTGTTGAAACTTCTATAGAAATTTTACTTTGGTAACTTCTTTATTTTATTCCAACGAGTCTACTAATTAAACAATTATCAAAAACTGTGCAAAAGGTTGCTAAAAACTTCAGATAGAGACAGTATATTCAGTATTTATTTACTGTAAAATTTATTCTGCTGTGAATTGTAAATTTCTATTGTAATTGTAAATTTGTGTATTTAATATGATTATGTTTTTGTTCTAAACCATTTTTTATAGAATCTGTTATAGAAAAAAAAGACAAGTGAAAACAAAACACAAAGTTTCAATTTCATTTTTGATAATCATAAAAATTGAAGTAAACTTTTCAGAACACACATGAAACATACAAGGATGCATAGTTCCCCTGGTGTGACGTCTATGCAGAGTAGTCTACTACCCTGCACACAGAGCATCGTCTTCATTTTGCTCTGTTTTTATTAATTTCATCTTTATTGATTTTAACAAAAAGTAATCAATTTTTCACTTTTAGGTAGCTAATGTATATATTTCTTTTTTATAAAACAAATCCTTTGAGTACAATTTTCCTATCAATTAGATATGATTTAAATGAATTTTTGATTGTTTTCTTAGTAATTTTTTCAAATCACATTTATGCTAACTGATTCCCAGATAAAAAAAGAAATTGTCTTTTTTGAATTTGTAAACTAAAGCAATTTTTTTTTTTTTAATTTAATTTATTGAATACAATTAATTAGGCTGCAATTTGAAAAAATTGTTGACCTATAAATTCCCACTGTCGTTAAACTCGAGAACAGAGTTAGATGAAATCCGAAACCATTCTTTGGTTTCGGATTTCATCTATCAAATACGGAAACCTTTAGGACAAGAGGCCCTGATCAACTATATACAAACTTCCGTTGAAAACCAGAAGTCACATTATTTCAATTCAAAACTTTCCCATGAAAACAGTTAATAGATGACTGAAACAACTATTGTTAAAGGTAAACTATGATGTACAGGGCAAGTCACTACTAATTTGAGGTGAAAAGTATGTATTTTAAATTAAATAAATTATAAATTGCAGCCTGGCATTGTGACGCTGTCACAATAAATAATTGCTCATTTTCATAATCAATTACAGAGATACTTGTAAAAGTTAGAACAACAGTAGAATTATGAAAGATTTTTAATGAAGACACAATTGCAAAAGGCTTTAAGAAATGTTGTGTTACCAAAAACTTGGACAGAACAGAAGATGATGCTCAAGGAGGCTGAAGACCATGATGACAATGAAATAGGAAACAGAAATGACAACAATGAAAATGAACTACTGTTTCAATAACTTTAGCAATTTGCATTAAAAAGAATTGGAATTTTTTGTAAACAAATAAAGGTAATTTTAAAGGTTGCTTTTATCTTCTGGTCCCAATTTTTTTCAAAAAGATTCCAAAATTGAAAGTCAAATTATTCACGCCAATACGGTAATTTGGTTAATATCAATACTACTCTAATTGAGTCATGTTTGCAACCTCCAGAATTTATTTCCCACCTCATAGAAGCAATTTTACTGTTTATAAAGAAAATTCAACATCCATAATTGTTAATGATTATTACAAATGTGCTTGTATTAAGTGGGAACTTACTGTATAGAAAAATTCTTAAAAGATCTACTGAAAATGTAAAGAATGGTTTAATTTGGTAGATAATTTTATGAATTTTAGTTTATTATATTTTAATTAAATATATATTTGTTTGTAGTTATCGTTGTCAGGATGGAATCATCTGGATGTACTTTTCCCGTGCTTTTTCAAACGAGCAATGATTGTCGCTGTAATAACTAGGATCGAGAAAAGACCATTACTTTTGAAAGCAGGATCGCCGATTGGCTGTCGTTAATCATACAATGGCCAGACCTCCGATAACGCTGAGTGACCAATCAGCACTATCTTCAATCCATATAAAAAGATAAAGTTTAGGCAAGACACTTAACTTTGCCTAAAGTTAAGTGTCTTGCTAAACTTAGGCTAAAGGAAGAGTTCGTCAAACAAACTTGTTGAAGGCGATTGTTTTTGTTTTGCTGTGTCTTTAACAAATGCCAGAAGGAATATACATCTAACTACATCTCAGGAATGCGTTGCAAGGTGTCCTTTTGATGGACCTGTTCTGGATTAATTGACTATTTGGATTCTAATTTATTTTGTGTGTGAAACCTATATTGTCAATATCTTCAACATTGTCATTTCAACATTGTAATTCTTGTGAACATTGTATGTTTATGTAAATTTTATTTGTTGTTATAAATGTGAGCCTGCGGATTTTTGCGGCTCTTTTAAAAATTTAAATTTTTATATTAACTAACTTCGGAAAAAAACCCGAAGATTTTGTACTAGATCGGATTTCACCGATTGTATCACAACTCGCTGAGGAACTTTACAGTTAGGTGTGAAAAATGCACCGTCATCGTCAACAAGAATCGATGATGTGTCAGCTCTCGCACGAAAAAGTATAAAAGCTCGAATCTCCGTAACCTCAGGGCGATTCGTCATAGGAAGTTGTATTTAGTAATAGTGTCACCGAAATTCCCGAGCCTCCATTCAGCGGACCCGATCCTGCTATAGAGAGAGGACCTCGAATAGAAGACATGGAAGACACCACATCCTGAACGTTCGCCAATTCACCCTGCCACCGACAGGTATTTTGGGGTATATAGGATTTGTAAGCACTCTCTCTCGAACTCGAAAATTCGTGCTTGAATTTATGTAAATAGTAGAAATAACCGCTTTTAACCTTTTGTAGTGCTTAGTTGAGTATATAATAAATGCTTGTTTAGTTTTAAACCTGTTTCCTGTCATTTAAGGACACCTATCAACTAGCTCATCTCCCTCCCCACTCGAACTGCCCTCCTAGCCATCCAACGACGCCGAGATCGGGTTTTATCAACCTGTTGCCGAGTAAGTGGTCAGTGGGAGATTGATTCCTGACCCACGGTTTATCTCACATAAACATTTTGTGAACTGTGAACTTGTGGTTTGGAATTGACTGTTGTTAGGAAAATCACAATGACTCTTTGATGTTTAAATTAATAAGCAATGTGTATTACTATGCATTTTCAGTCATACATGAATATGACAATACTGTGATAAGTCTCCACATATATCTCCAGAAATTTTTATTTGACAAATCCTAATAAGAATACAGATTGAGATACGAAGCTTTAAATTGAATGTCTGCAGAGTCACTTCCTACTTTCACTAGAGAAATCTTTGAATTTTTCCCAAATGCACTTTGAATCAATCTGTAATATCAAAATTCTTTAATTTGCATACTGTGATGGATAGCAAAGAACATTTGTTGTAATGGGACTATGAACACAGTAATATAGGCACATGCACACACATAATTTGAGATTGTATATAAATATATCTAGTCTACTTGCAAATTGCATCTTCCAAAGTATTAAAAAAAGATAAAAGATCCTGGGTGTAAAGTGAATGAGTTAAGAATATAAAGAAACTTTACATATCAAAACAAGATTTTTTTTGTGTATTGATACAATAAAATGTTAAACTAATCCTTCTTGATTATTTTAATCTTATAGGCTTATTACTTAATCCTACAGAACTATGTAATTCAGTATTACAAGGTTAGCAGAATATCAATATTAGAGCATTACACTAAATTTCAAATAGATAAATTTATGAAATATGACCAATCTTATTTTTTTAATTAAATGTAATTCTTTCCAATTATTTTAAGTTAAATTAACTGAACACAAATAAATACAAGTTGTAGTAAAACAATACTATGTATTACTGGTTATTATAATAATTATAAAGAATAACTTACAAAATCTTTACTGCTTTTCTTTTTCTTGCCCTGAGATTTTGAATCATCATCATCTCCTTCCCCTTCATTTTCATTCTTCAAACGTTTTCGAGACATAAGTGAGAAATAGTTTAAGACTTTATCTCTTCTATAAATAAAAATAAATAGTTATAATAGCTAAAATATAGTAAATTAATGTTCTAATTATTTTAAAAAAGTGATAATGTTACTTTGTTAAAAATTCTGTAACATTTGTACACAAATCTTTAACAGTTTAATAAAAAAAAAAAATCCTAATAAATTAAAACAAATAAAAATTAAAGAATCCCTACTTTCTGATAAAATTTTGAATACTTTTTTTTTTTTAACTTTCTACAGTTGAAGTCACATGATTTTACTGATTTAAAACATCAACAGAAGTCTAATAATATAACTTCAAAGTTAATATTTTAATAATTAGACTACATTTATACTTTCAAGTTTAATTATAAAGTATGTTCTATTGGTATAGATTAAAACTTTATAATGTATATTTACATTCAATTCTTACACAACAATATACAGAACATAAATTATGAATTTCCTTACACAACAAATATAAGTGCATAATTTATATACAGTAATATTCCTTATATCAGTGTTTTTCAACATCTAATGAATCGTCGCCCCCTTCAATAAAACTGTTATGTAGTATCACCCCCTTCACTACAAAATTCCGATGCTGAGGGACAATGCTAACACCAAATTTGTACTGCATTGAATACACTAGTGACTAGTATAATGTTATTCGTTTAATTATTGTACAATATAACGAATAAAATATCTAATTATTCTTAATATAATGTTTTACTATTTCTTCCAGAAAATTGTTTTTTGCCCCCAAAATATAAATTGTTACTAATCGCCCCTCAACATGGAAAAACTCCCACATGGGGGCGATATCACCCCCATTGAGAAACACTGCCTTATATAAAGAATGAATACAAATTACTTGTAATGTATTCCTTCAATTTAAAAAAAAATAATAAAACTTTAAAATCAGTGAAAGTTGAAAATACCTAATAAGTTTGAGAAATTTTCTATTCAATAGTGATTAATGGTAATTCAAAGAACTGATAATGGCTGCCACAAAACTTAAGTCCTACATTCATATCATTTGACATAATACAAAAATCTTCATTCATCACAAATACATTAAGCTTTCAATTAAGTATACTGAATATTAAAATAAAAGAACTGACAAAATTTTTCAATATTTAAGTTTTAGCACACTTCAATATTTGCTAGTTCAGGGGTCAGCAACCTTTCAGTGTTTTGCTGAAACTAAGTTATAGTAGTGTTATTCTGGGTGCCAACATGATTTTACCAATTTGTTACATATGTATACCAATATCTGGTGAATGTCAACATTCTCCAGTGAATATCAGCAATCACACAGTCATTTTGTGTATGTATGAAAAATTTGCTAAATACCATTATTTCTCACTTACACTGGCATATGTCGACATTCAGCATGCACTGACAGTGAATGTTGAATAAAAATATTTTTATTACGTTAAGACAAAAATGCAACTTTTTAATATGTCAAAATAGGAGAAAACTTAAGTAACAGCACATGTAAATAAACTGTTGAACCTAAAACAAACAGTACATTCTTAACCAGAAAAGAAAAATAATACGCAATAGTAAACTTACACATATATTATGTGATTAATGTTATATAATCTTATTTATTGCAACAACTTAAACTGTTATGGCACTTTGAATTACACAAGAGTCCCTTGCTTTTACAACTGCATTTATTTGTGGAACACTTCTGTTTGCAATGACAGCGTGTATAGCCTTGCCCTCCACTTTTTGAATTAGCTGCAGCTGCTTCTCTCAGGAGATATTTCTTGAGAAGAAATCTCATCAATGGAAAGTAATTTTTCTTTACAAATCACAAACTGATTATGGGTATAAAGCTACTTGAGGGTACCATTTTTGTTTGCTAATTTATAAAAGTTGGAGTCTTCTTTTCCAACAACAACCGCCAACACATTTCAGGCATCTGTACGGCCACAGTGACATCAGGGACTTGTATTCGTACAGTATCACCAATTTGAGCAGAAGGAAATGGAGAAGGAAATAACAAAGAATTTGTCAACAGACTCACCTTTCTGTCAACATCGGCTTCTCGGGTGTCGTTTCGACCTCCACCAAAGCTTATCTGTGCTTGTCTACATACACTGGCAATTGTTTGAATGTATAATAATATAATCAAATATTTGGTCTTTCACAGACGTATTTTGTATGTGTCAACATTCACTGGAGAATATCGACATTCTCTAATTTTGAGTAACATATAACATATATATATATATATATATATATAGGATTGTCCAATTGAAAAGTGGACACCTGTAATATTTCATTGTGCAAAGTAGTGATTGTTGGGGCAACTTACAAGTGGGTAATCTCAACATAGGCAAAGCACAGGCTGCATTAACTATTGGCAGGAATAGATTTTATCTCCAGTAATTGACAGATTAATGTTAAGTTAATTATTATGTAAGTGTCCAGAATTAAACAACAGGAGGTAGTTTGGTTTTTAGTGGTTGAAGGGAATAGGAGTGCCAACATCTATAGACAAAAACAATGCTATAACAAAGACCCTGAGTTCCTCCTTACTGTTGCAGGAGATGAGACTTGGTGCCACCATTACACTCTTAAAACAAAGAAACTGTGTAAGCAATAGAAATACTCCTATCCAGTCCTTGTAAGTCCATAGCAATGCCCAGTGCTGGAAAAGCAATGCTGACTTCTTTTTTTTTACTGCTGTGCAGTTTCACATTTTTGGACTTCTCAAGAAAGTTTTACAAGGCAACAATGATGAGGTAAAGAATAATGTTAAAGAATTTTGTTACCAGCAGCCACCAGAATTCTGTGTGAGGGGCATTGATCTGCTTGCGAGACACTGGGATCTTTGCCTAAACAAACATGGAAATTTCTTTTAGATTTGCAATAAATGTTTGCCAGTTCTGACATGTGTCCACTTTTCATTTGGGCAACTATTATTAAAACTATTATCAAAATCGGTCCAGTTATAACGAACTTCAAAAATATATAATTTTGAAATTAAGTTGTTAATTGAATTATGTTCTTACATGTGAAGTGCATGCACACGTAGATGGTAACATGGACCATAAATGCGTGTGTTCTAATATAAATATACAAGCAAGAGATTCATTTTTAATGTACCATGACCTACACTCAAGTATGGTTTCATTTAAATGTGTAATTAATAATTAACACACAATTTTTACTATATTTCTATTCAATCTTAGTGCCACTGAAAATTGCCCCGTACGCCATATTTGGCCCATTTACAATAGGTTGCCAACTCCTGCACTAATTTATTCTTATCAACATAAATTAATTATATTTCTATAATCAGTTTATGATGACAATTTTTTATAATATAGTAATTTTAATATCATACTTATTGTATTGTTCTTCAGCTTCTTCTGCAGTTAAAGCTTTGTATCTCTGAATAGGAGCAAAATTATACCATTCACTGACAGGAAAGGCTTCAAAAACTCCATCAGGTGCCTGCATAAATACATAATAAGAAGTATTTTCTGCAACACCACCTTCTCTAATGCCTTTAAATCTAAAATTTAAAAATATAATAATTTTTAACAAAAATATTTAAAGAACTTAATATTAAATTAGAATAGAATTTAGATTTTAATTTAGGATAGTAACTTTTAAACAAATCTTGTAAATGAAAATTTAAATAAATCAAAAATAAATTGAGTACAAAAATAACATTAAATTTTACAATAAGAAAAGTTTGTTAAAAGATTTGAAACAAACAACACATTAATAGTTTATTCGTATTACTTAATCACACATTAAATTTTGAGATTATTTTGTGTTTACTCTTTTTTTTTGATAAAATATATAGATAAATAATAAATCTACAGACATCAAAGATCATAATTATTAAAGCTATACTACTATATTAACAACAAAACAACAGCTGAAAAATGAAAAAATTTATATTTTCTGAATCTCTAAAATTTTCTTATTGTATAATTTAATTAGATTTTTCATCATTAAATCAATACCAAAATAACCCCAAAAACTGATATAAGTAAATTTGGATTAATGTATTCTAATCACAGAGAAGTAATGAAAAAACTTTATTCTCTATCATTTGAATTTTGTTAACAATTACAATACAAATTAATTTCAAAATTTAATTTCTAAATAAAAAAAATGAATTGTGATAATACTCATATGAAATCATAAAATATCTTAAATATTTTTGTGAGATTTCGACTTTTTTCATTTTCACTTTTGTTTTAATCAGCGTTCCAGCACATTTTTAATTAATTGTTTAAAGTAATAAGATTTCTAATCTTCTATCAGAGCAGAGAAAGGTTAAGCAGTGAGAAGATGACAAAGTGGAAAAACCCATTTCCTTTTTTTTTCTCTCCCACTTGCAATACTCTGATAGATAAAACTGATCAAATATCTCTCCGAATCAACAATCATTACGATGTTTGGACTTATGTTACACCCTAAATCAAAGCATTTGATTATTAATGATAGGAAACTGTCAACCAGATGAAATTATGAAGTAAGATGAGTCACAATAACGACTAGAAAGTATCAATAATTTGGCCGAATCATCCAGTTCTTGGCAGCTCATATCAGCCAAAGCCAAACCCAGACCCGACTCAAACTCAGACCACATTAAATCTAAGTCACCCGAGTCAATTCTCATGTGCCACAAGTATAAAAAGGGCTCGCACCCAATCACTGGGGCGAGTGCTGAAGAAGACCGAACTCCTGCTAGATCCGCTACTCACTGCCTCACCAGACCGATGGAAAGACAATTAAGAAAACATCACTCTCGCAACAGTGCCAAACAAGGTATTGACTTTGAAGTTTTTATGTAAACTCTCTCTCTGTCAGTCAACTTAGAAATTAAGTTAGATTTAGTCTTTAGGGAAATAACTATCCACAAGAACTATCTGTTTTTGTCTCTGGTAAATGGAACTCATGTTAATGTTATGTCGTCTTACTATGTAACTTTGTTACATTGCGTCTGTAATCTCTTTTATTATTTATATTAAATGTGTTAAGTTTATCTGAATGGCTGTAGTAATTCGTGTATTGCCAACACCTTATCGGCGACCTCGCTGACCCTCCTACTTGCTCTATCAATAGAAGACCATAATCCTTCGACCCAGTGAGCGGGACCTGCCGTCCCGATGTCAGAGAACAGGTTAAGTCTCGCGCCTTAACCCCCAACTTCTCATATTTTTAAAACTAAAAACTCATTTAAACACATTATACAATTTATTTAAATGTAATAATAGTGTATTTAAAAGATATTTTATTTTTATAAAAAAAATTATAAAACGACAAAAAATGAAAATAATTTTTTAAATTTAAAACCTACTTCTTACCACCTCTACCTCCAACTTCTAATATCCATGGTTGATCTTCAGGATTATATTTTTTTGTTACAATTCCATGTTTCTTTTTTCTTGCTTCCTCTCTTTGCTCTCTTCCAAATTCACTACCAGCACCATATTTGGGAAGATCTTCATCTGTTTTAAATTCTTTAATATTATTCTCTCTTTCAAGTCTAGCCTGTATGAAGAGTTATAAAAATTATCATCATTACAATAAATTTGCAATTAAATAATTTGTCAAAATAGATATCATTTGTGCTTATTGTATGCAGGGTAAAGTGACCCTGAGTCATTATCTGTTTGACTGTAAGAACCTGGCTCATCTTCGTTCACCAGCACGTATCAGTAGCGTTATTCATAAAAAACCAACTGATAATATTCATGGATTATTTTCTAATAATGATTTGGTTGAAACTATTTAGTGTAAGTACAACTTTTTGTAATACGTTATCAAATATGTTATCCCCTCCTAAGAATTAATCTATATATGGCATAATTATATTAAATTAATTAAATTATTTGTCAAAATATTGGGTTGAACCAAAAGTTCGTTTGAAAATATTTACACAATTGCTTCTGTGACACCTCTGTCATGCTTATCAAGTTTTAACTTGTTTAGGTTGACATTACGAATATTTGAATATTTATTACATAAGTTTAATTACAGATATTTTTTAAAATTTTGTTATCTTTTAAGAAAAAAAAAACATTAAAATGGAAGATAAGAAAGTGCATTTTCAACATCTCATGCTCTATTATTTCCGAAAAGAAAAAAATGCAACAAAAACTCAAAAAAAAATATGTGCTGTATATGGGAAGAATGCAGTTACTGATCGAACACTCCAGAAATGGTTTTCAGAATTCAGGGAGGAAGATTATTCTCTTGAAGATGCACCTCAGTCAGGATGGCCTTCAACCATAGAAGATGAGTCCATAATAGGGAATCTCAATACTATTATCAGCTAGACAGACAGTGTGAAAACAAGTGAACACAACAACAAACTAGACAAGATGAACAGACCAACAGAGACAAATGAGCACAACCACCCAAATCTTTTTTAAACGTTAACTTACTCACTAACTAAACTAACCTACCATAACCTAGGACGGGTCGGCAGGAGTGGCTCGCAAGCTGCACGCAACTCTTTGCAGCTCTTTGGAACTAAACTCCAATTTCACCTCATCTCATGCAGCCTTATAACTTATGAGTTTATGAGATAGAGCCACCAAGCAAACTTTGACTCGTATTGCATACTATCTACCACTCTTTAGCCCATCTGCACATAACGACACACGTGTTGATCAATATGAGTCGCATACAAGTGGTATCATTTGAAGCATATCTATATATATAATCCATTAAACGCGTGTCCATCCGTCCGTGTAACGTTATGCCAAAAATAGCCACTAGAGGCACCCTGTCATGTGTTGTATTTCACACATTTAAATTAACAATATAAATTATTATTATTCATTTGGCCAATAGCCAATAACAATATAAATAATTCAGTATATTTGTAATAGGAATTTATTTTTGTCATGGAATGCCTGTAATGCATATAGGTCCTGTACATATGTACAGGACCTATATGCATTACATATAGGCTATATGCATTACATACTATATGCATTACATATAGGCTTACATATGTATATTACATATATGCAGCTCTCTGGTACTTTTGTTATCCTGTTTCCATGACAATTTGGCTCTTCTCATTTGACAAACTGCTGACCCCTGACCTAGGACAAACCTAACCAGACAAGTAAAGCTAACAAATCACAAACCCTAATCTAATTTAACCTAACCTATCATAACCTAACCAGAAATCAAACTAAGAGTCCCTAATCTGACTTACAACTAGGACTAACCAATACCCATACGGGTACAGGTATCGGTATCATACTAACTACCATACCCATACGGAAGTTCCTTGCAGAATAATGTGTTGCTAGATATCTTGGGATGCTGCTTTTTTACAGTAGCCTATCTACTTATGCTGAGTCTACGCAAGCCATCATCGATATGGGTAACTCTCACACACAAATTACTGATTACATCTCAAAGTTTCACTTATTACTTCTTAGTAATAAAATAATTTTCTAAAATTTCAAATTTTTATTATTATACTCAAATGTCTATTAAAACATTGATTCTGAAAAAATAAGATATACTTTACAGTTGAAATATGATTAACAAATTTTATTATATTAAGTTTTGTCTATAATAATGTTAAAATATTGTAATAATTGGCATTAAAATACAAATATTTTCTTTTCTTTACTTGCAAAATTCTAATAGCTTACAGTTTCAATAAATTTGTAACTAAATTATTATTTTCATTATTTAAACAATTAAAAACAATACTTAACACACATTAATGGAATAGAATATCTGAGCATTTAGTGAATTATACTGGAATGTGTTTAAGTATGTTTTTGATCTGAGGATAAAATAATAAATTTTCAAATTAAAATTATCATTAACAGCTTTATAATTGTAAATTTTATATCTATTTAAAATTTGTTAAATTTGGTACTATATTTATATAAAATATTTATTCATTTTAATACAGTATCATTAGATATCAATCAATTTTCATTACTAATGTTTATTATTATTATTTCATATAATAAGTTACTTACTAGTGTCCATTTTTTAACATCAACGTTCAAAGACGTGTTAAATCTCATCACATTTAAAGATTTTTTATTTGCTCTAAAAAAAAAATCAAAAGTTCTAATTAAGTTATATTTCTAAATGAAAATTATTATTAATTAATAATTAGTTATATGCTAATACAATAACCCTTTGTTATATCACACATGTTGGGAGATAAATCAAATGAACAATATATCAGATTGCATAAGAACCAATGTATCTATCTGTCTATTTTTGTTTACTTTCACTCTCCATAAAGACTTGTGGATTGTATTTCATACAATGATAGTTTTGAGATTAATGGTTAGAATAAGATAATTTCTTCGTTAGCAGAAATTCAATGGCAACTGATTTTTTTTTTTAAATTATTATTTAAAGTTTTTTATGTTTAGAAAACAGACAAGAAAAAAAAAAAAAAGCCAAACATATCCAAATGAGCAATATAACAAGGAGTTACTTGTATATTAAATTATAATCAAACATGTTTATCAAAAGTAATTTTAGTGATGGGACGATTTATTGGAATCAGAGATCGGAAAAATCTGGAATTTTCTGTTAAATAGAAGGATATCTGTCAACTTTCATGCCTGGGAGTATATCTTCCTTTAAGTTGTCAGCGTCAAGAAAGACACTTTCCCCGCAACCTTCTGACCTGCTGTCCTGATTTTGTTGTAATATAACTAGTGGCCAGTTGAGTCAGTTGTCACCTATTCCTCAAGCGGGTCAATTGTTTGTGTGTCATTTGTGGTGATAGAATAAAGCAATGTCTCCAACATAACTTTATTTCGTCACCGGATATATTGGCTTTGATGAGTATCGCCACTACCGCCACTACAAATCCATCTCATCTGTGACCACATGTACAGAGGATCTACAGATTTCAAGCTATCTTCAAGAACTTTCATCCCATTAACCCAACTAGCAACCACCAGATCTCTGCTCCTCTACAAGGTATTTATCCCCGCACACTCTATTGTAAACTCTCTCTCTCACACAACTGAATTATCGTGTCTATGCATTTAGAACCTTCTAAATGGCTCAGCAGTCTTATTTCACTAATCTTGTGTGTAAACTTTTAAGAACAAATAAACAAGTATATGTGTTTGTATAACTTTGTCTCCGAGTGCATTACTTCTGTCACGCCGTCTCATAGTCCTCCATCCAAAATCTGATTACTTACGCACGTGACTGCTTGTGTGACCTAGTTTCTAACAAAAACCATTCACCGTTGTGGCTTCTATGTCAAACAGGACACAGTGGTGTCATCCTGATGAGGCATCGAAGAGGTGCCAACCCTTCGGTCAAAAATACATTATTTTTTCAAATGTGATTCATCAAATCCTACCAGCTCATAACCAACCAACCAACCAAATGCAATTCATGTGTTTCTGAGTAAAAATACTTGTTCATGCTAAGTTTATTGCCACTTTGAGTTTTAAAAATAGATTTTTCAAGATAAGTCATCTTGACATTCACAGCTCAAGTGAACAAATTCAAAAATTGGTTAACTCATAATAATGATGATATTTGTTCAGTTCATTGCATCACTTGCCAAACCTAGTTTAGTGTTAAATATGATGGAATTAAAGCATTTATGAGACATGCCTATTGTAAGAAGCATGAAAAAAGAAGTACATCTCATTTACCTTCCCCCTAGTAATCATGTCAACCAACGAAGCAGTTTCCAGAGATGGCAACCCTATATGACATGATGGGAGAATTTTTACATTTCTTTCAAAAGATTGGAAAATTTAGAATCAATCATTTTCCATTCATAAACTTGATGTTTATTAATTAGCCTAATCAATGTACCATGTTCATAATGTAAATCATTAATTTTTCTGAATTAAAATAAACTTTAAAAAGTATTCAAAAGAATTGGAATAAGAATTGGAAATTTTATCAGAATTGGGAGTTTTCAGCAGAATCAGAATTGGAAGAAATTTTGGTATCATCCCATCACTAGTAATTTGATATAACATTTGAAAAGATTACCTCTTTATCAATATTCTAACAATATATACCATATTTACTCGAATATAAGACAACCCTGCATATAGGACATGGTATGACTTTAAAGATCNTAATTAGTTATATGCTAATACAATAACCCTTTGTTATATCACACATGTTGGGAGATAAATCAAATGAACAATATATCAGATTGCATAAGAACCAATGTATCTATCTGTCTATTTTTGTTTACTTTCACTCTCCATAAAGACTTGTGGATTGTATTTCATACAATGATAGTTTTGAGATTAATGGTTAGAATAAGATAATTTCTTCGTTAGCAGAAATTCAATGGCAACTGATTTTTTTTTTAAATTATTATTTAAAGTTTTTTATGTTTAGAAAACAGACAAGAAAAAAAAAAAAAAGCCAAACATATCCAAATGAGCAATATAACAAGGAGTTACTTGTATATTAAATTATAATCAAACATGTTTATCAAAAGTAATTTTAGTGATGGGACGATTTATTGGAATCAGAGATCGGAAAAATCTGGAATTTTCTGTTAAATAGAAGGATATCTGTCAACTTTCATGCCTGGGAGTATATCTTCCTTTAAGTTGTCAGCGTCAAGAAAGACACTTTCCCCGCAACCTTCTGACCTGCTGTCCTGATTTTGTTGTAATATAACTAGTGGCCAGTTGAGTCAGTTGTCACCTATTCCTCAAGCGGGTCAATTGTTTGTGTGTCATTTGTGGTGATAGAATAAAGCAATGTCTCCAACATAACTTTATTTCGTCACCGGATATATTGGCTTTGATGAGTATCGCCACTACCGCCACTACAAATCCATCTCATCTGTGACCACATGTACAGAGGATCTACAGATTTCAAGCTATCTTCAAGAACTTTCATCCCATTAACCCAACTAGCAACCACCAGATCTCTGCTCCTCTACAAGGTATTTATCCCCGCACACTCTATTGTAAACTCTCTCTCTCACACAACTGAATTATCGTGTCTATGCATTTAGAACCTTCTAAATGGCTCAGCAGTCTTATTTCACTAATCTTGTGTGTAAACTTTTAAGAACAAATAAACAAGTATATGTGTTTGTATAACTTTGTCTCCGAGTGCATTACTTCTGTCACGCCGTCTCATAGTCCTCCATCCAAAATCTGATTACTTACGCACGTGACTGCTTGTGTGACCTAGTTTCTAACAAAAACCATTCACCGTTGTGGCTTCTATGTCAAACAGGACACAGTGGTGTCATCCTGATGAGGCATCGAAGAGGTGCCAACCCTTCGGTCAAAAATACATTATTTTTTCAAATGTGATTCATCAAATCCTACCAGCTCATAACCAACCAACCAACCAACCAACCAAATGCAATTCATGTGTTTCTGAGTAAAAATACTTGTTCATGCTAAGTTTATTGCCACTTTGAGTTTTAAAAATAGATTTTTCAAGATAAGTCATCTTGACATTCACAGCTCAAGTGAACAAATTCAAAAATTGGTTAACTCATAATAATGATGATATTTGTTCAGTTCATTGCATCACTTGCCAAACCTAGTTTAGTGTTAAATATGATGGAATTAAAGCATTTATGAGACATGCCTATTGTAAGAAGCATGAAAAAAGAAGTACATCTCATTTACCTTCCCCCTAGTAATCATGTCAACCAACGAAGCAGTTTCCAGAGATGGCAACCCTATATGACATGATGGGAGAATTTTTACATTTCTTTCAAAAGATTGGAAAATTTAGAATCAATCATTTTCCATTCATAAACTTGATGTTTATTAATTAGCCTAATCAATGTACCATGTTCATAATGTAAATCATTAATTTTTCTGAATTAAAATAAACTTTAAAAAGTATTCAAAAGAATTGGAATAAGAATTGGAAATTTTATCAGAATTGGGAGTTTTCAGCAGAATCAGAATTGGAAGAAATTTTGGTATCATCCCATCACTAGTAATTTGATATAACATTTGAAAAGATTACCTCTTTATCAATATTCTAACAATATATACCATATTTACTCGAATATAAGACAACCCTGCATATAGGACATGGTATGACTTTAAAGATCAAAATAAAGAAATCGTTTAATCACATGTAAAATATCAAATGAATGTAAATGCACACATTGTCCCGCAAAAATTACTAGCATTTTATTTTATTTTTTTGCCAATTCTTAACAGTCTAATTCACTCGCCATCTTACGAGTTTCTCCGAATTATGATTTCTGAATAATCATCCATTTTCACATGGGAATGGATTAAAACTTATAACGTGCTCCCATGTGATTTTGGAATTTTAATCTGGAATTCAATTCAAAAGCTTTGCTTTTCCCATTGCTATTCATCTTTACTCCTGACAATATACAAGAACGGTTCAAACAACCTAGATAAAATACTTATGTTTTTAAATACAAGAGAGTAAGCATCCAGTAAAACAATGTGAATACACGGTTCATTAAAAAATATTTGCAAAAACTCAAAGAATCTTTCGCTCACACTTATAGGATGACCTAGGAATTTGAAGCTGTGATAAATGAATAAAAACCTAATCTTATATGCAAGTAAATACAGTATATGACTTTGATTTTGCTTAATACTCACAGGTTCCATTCATCATCACTCAGGAGAAGTCTTTATTGTGAATCAATCACAATAAAGATTGTGAAGTTTATAATAATTACTAAATATGCAAAAAAGTCTAATTTTCCTGGCAAAGATGTATATGATGGACAGCTGCACCCATATAAAACATTGTGTCAAATTCCTACTACAAATTTTATAAATTTTGTTTTTACTGATATCAACAGAAAAAAAGCTACATTACAATTTGTCATTTATAGTATAGCTATTTATAGTAGTACTCTTTGAATATAATTTTTCCACTCCCTAGGTACAGTACAATTTAAATAAGACTTATAAAATTTCTAAGAAAGCAAACAAAAATTTATTTACACTGATTCCCAGACATTTTTAAATATAAATTCTAAAAAAATTTCATTTCTAACTAAAGTAGTTTCCATGAAAAAAAGTAATCAAATGAAACTAATTTTCAAAATCAATCACTTAGATAAGTAGTAAAAATTCCACCTATTCTTGTAAGAGTTAGAAAAATAATAAAATTATGAAATTTGCACTCTGATACAGTACAAAAACTTTAGACAAATGGCATTTTCTAGTTAAAAAGTTTCAAAACTATCTTATAGACTTATAGAACAAAACTTATAGAAAAAAAAGTTATTGCAACAGACAAAGATAAAAAATTTTTCACAATTATTTATCAACTGTCAAAATAACAGATGATATTATGTATTTACCTATGCGACTTTTCCTGTGAACATCAACAATTTGTACAGAATAACATATAAATATAATATTGCAATGTAGCAATATAAAGCCAAACATGATGAAAAAATTTTAAAAGTGAGAAAATGGTTAGCAAAATTTTTCGAATTTCTAATCACTAAGTATCTACGACAAGACAGTTAAGTTGGCAGTCAAAGTTTAACAAAACCATCCTCAAAATTTGCAATAATGGAAATAAAAAGCTATCATCATAAATAACTAAAAATAACTATAAAAAAATTATTTCTTGTTAACTTGTTTATGTTGTCAAGAAATGTTTTAATGCTTATATCTTGAATTTTTTACAATCAATCACTACATTTGATTGAATGAGTGAATGTTACATATGGAGCATTCATAACATCATTCAATCTGTTTTAGTAACTTTTTATAATAAAGTTTGCTTAAATTAATGTCACAATATTATAAAACCTATATTAATAATGCTTAGTTATATGATTAATTAATAATACTTACTCAGGAATTCGTACAATATATTCTTGGCTCACCTCTGCACCTTGATTAACCTAAAATTAAAATTTTCAAATTATAAAGATTAATAATACTTATGAACACAAATTATGAATTAGTTTTATCCCTAAACAGGTGAAAGATGTTATTAATATAAAAAATAAGTATTTCAAAGAAAAAGTAAACTACCAGAATTTATAACAAACAATTTAATATATGCAAAGTAAATAATCTCTATCATCTATACTTAAAACACATCAATATCAGTAATATTGATCTTTATTTTTTAGACGATTCTTTGTTATTCTCATCCATTGCAAAAATATTATACCACTCCAAGACAGTCTGAAAAACTAGTAAAATTCTTTACTTTATAAATGGAAATGTATTTTATTTATAACTGATACATTATTGATGTAAAGAACAATACTTTTATCAAATAATAATTTTTCAAATCATTTAATAAACTTTTAACATGATTCAGACAGCATAACTGGTAATGAGAAAGAAAAACAAAATCTAATCATTTAATCAGTCTTCATTAAACTACATCTAATACTTAAAATCACAAATCTAATTGGTATAAATCAAGTAAGATCTGACAATATTATATAATGTACTCTTGCTAATCTGAACTAATTATTATGTAGGACTCAGATTATGAAAAGATCGAATTAGCAGGATTACAAAGAAACGAGGGTCAAAAATGGCTGCTGACATACTGCAGCAGATTCAATGATAAATCTCAAAAACACAACTTTTAATTCATATAATACAATAAACAATATTAATTATATTCATAACTAGCTGTACCCGGCCATGCATTGCTGTAGCTCAAAATGTATCTATTATAAATGTATAACACTCCCTGCAGGAGGGAATTTTGAAAAATCCCTTTTTAGTGTACATTCTTTTGATGTACCCTATTAAAATGAAATCAAAAATGCAAAAAACCTCATCTAAAATAGAATAATAAGACCAGTTCTTCACGGTAAGCCTTAATTTTGTCCTGCTCACCCACAGGGGAATTTCGACATCTATATACCGTAATATAAAAACACGCTCCTATTCGAATGCAATATTGTGTCAAAATTTCAAAGCAATCGGTTAAGAACTTTCAGAGATTTAAGATTTTGAACAAACAAACATTTACATTTTTATTTATATAGATTATTACAGTAAACTTTACTGTTATCATGCTTTATTTCTTGGTGACCCAAAAACTAAACTTCTGGCATTAATTTTAAAAGTTTATGCTCATTTTATAAGGGAAATCAATTCAAAAACTATTAACATATTTATAATTAATGCTCACATTCATAATAAAATGTCTGAGGGAGGACAATCACCCCATCACCCTCCATTGAATTTGCACCTGATAAATACTGGATAAATATTATTAAAATGTATAGCATATATTAATTTCATAAATTCTTCATTTTTTAAAGAATAATCTGTAACTTCTTTTTGTTTTGGCCACAACATTTGGTAACAAAATAATAAAAATTAGTTCAGATTAAGCAGACACTGGATTAGTACAGGTTTAGATTAGTGAAAATGCACTGTATATCTAATAATATAAATATCATTCAGTTTTCTTTAAGTTGAGAATTGGGAAATATTTGTACTTAACGATAAAACATTCTGACATTACGCTATACAATGTTGATATTAAATATCATACCATTATTTAAAATAAACAATAGCCAAATATAAAAAGAACAACTTTTAACAGATATAAAAAATAAACGAATTTGTAAGCAAAAAACAAAAATTAATAGGACATAACTATAAAAAATGATATAGAAATAATTATAGAAAACAAAATAAATACTAAGTTTATTTTATTATNACTAATCTTATTTCATTTAATCACAAATAAAATATTATCAAATGCACGTAAATGCACACATTGTCCTGCAAAAATTACTAGCATTTTAAACTTTATGGAAAAATTTTGTAAAATAAACAACATAATTTGTTAATGTAAAGCTGGACAATCGGAAACTTTTTTTGCCAATTCTTAACAGTCTAATCCACTCTCCATCCATTACACTTATGAGTTTCTCTGAATTCTGATTTCCGAATAATTATCTGTTTTTATGTCCGAATGGATTAAAACTTACATTGGGCTCCTGCATGATTTTGGAAAATGTTTGTTTGTTTGTTTTGTTAAGTTATGGCAATGCAACACTTGGGCGATCTGCCTTGGGGATGCCTTCCAGGAGGTCTTTTTAAGGGTAACTGGCTCCTATTCAGGCATTACCGAAGTGGAAAAAACCCAGAAAACTCCATGTAACCAGCTCATCATGGCAAGGCACAAACCCACAACCAGACTCCCAGAGTTCAGGGAACAGAACTGTTTGGCCACTGGTAAGCCAATTTTGGAATTTCAATTTGGAATTCAATTCAAAAGCTTTGCTTTTCCTATTGCTATTCATCTTTACTCCTGACAATACACAAGAACGATTCAAATGACCCAGATAAAATAGTTTTGTTTTTAAACACCAGAGAGCAAGCTTCAAGTAAAAAATGTGAAGACAGATGCACTTGTCGGGCTACTTCTCTGCAATAAGTTCTAAATAATTTGTCATTAGAAGTAGGCATTAAGTGCCATTCCTATTAAATTTAATAATTTTTATTAAATTAATTTTTATAAATAATTTAAATTATTCTAGAAGAAAAGAATTAGCCCAGNATTCAATAATATTATTATTTTTCATAAATAAATAGAGTATTACAAATATTAGAAATTTTACATACATAAACAGAGTAACATTCTGATTAAAGAGATTCTATTATTCTTCAATTTTCTGCATAGAGAATTTATTATAAATTTTACGCCGTGGACACACAAACAGTCCTCTTCATAAAAAGACTTGTTGACTTTATATCAAATATAACTGAAAAGAGTTTGATTATTAATCAATTTTCTTGCTCTGTTTGCTTTATGTAAAATATTGAAAATCCATCATTGGAACTAAAATTGTAGAAAATATATACCAAGCAATTTTTATTCACTCATCAATCTTCAAAGGTTCTGAATTAAACATTCTATTTGTCCAACATACTTTAATATTTAACACATTTAAATTCTCCACTTCATTAAACAGACTTACTACAGAACTGGTTAATGAAAATACAAGTATTTTCATTAACCAGTAAATGAATAAGTGCTCAGGCACTTATTCATTTTCATGGGTCAAAATTCGCAGTACCTATTTGAGCCAGGTATTTAATTTGGTGTTTGTTTTGATTTGACTCAGTGGCGTAGCGTAGCTGGGATGGCAGGGGTGGCACTTTTAGGGGGCGGCAAAATTTCACAACAAATAATAATATCTTGTAAAAATTTGAACCATTTCATTTCATATTTTTGTCGCACCTATGATTCGGACTGATTAAAATGAGCACGAAATTGTTCATTACTTATTCTGTGACGAAACTGAATTTTAGTCTTTTAAATTGAGATACCTAAATAAGGGGGCGGCGAAATTTTCCTCCGCCCTGGGTGGCTGACACCCATGCTACGCCACTGATTTGACTGTAAACCAGGTTAGAACCTTTGTCCAAATTTTGCCTTGCAGTGCAATCTCCTCTTGTATTTTCTCATCAGGTATTTCTCCCTTCAGGTAAACTGTAGGATGTAGGATGAAGAGGCAGGAAAGAATAGTAACTCTCATCATCCATGATTATCTCAAGTGCAAAAAGGAGCATCTCTGGTCCTTTTGAAAGTGGACAATTGCTGTTGTCTTCATTCCTGACTTGAGTTTGTTCTAATAAAATATCCTGTGTCAAGCACTATCCATTTCATAGTTTTTTGTCTGATATCCCATATCTTTTGGCCAATGAGTTGAAACTGAGATAAACTTTCCTATTGTGGGCATGCTTCAGGCTATATTTGCCTCAGTTGTTTAACTGCACTTTTGGCCAATCCAATCTGCTTTCCACTACTGTCAACCTTTTCCTAGGCTATTGACCTATGTCAGCAGTCACAAAATGTCTAGCAATTTTTTCACGTTTGCATGAAGCTTCTGAAAAATTTCTACTTTTTGCTTATTACCTTGTCTATCTACTATCACTGTGATAATTCTTTAAAAAAATAACTGCAATATTTAATATCAAACAAAAGCAGATGACTTCTATGTTCTAATCTACAAATTCATTCTACTCTCATTAATCCAAAAATGCATGTGTTACTGTGAATGACCGATATCTGGAAAATGTCAACATTCTCCGGTGAATGTCAGCATTCACACAGTCATTTCGTGTATGTACGAAATATTTGCTGAATATCATTATTTCTAACTTACACCAGCAAATGTCGACATTCAGCATGCACTGATGGTGAGTGTTGAATAAAAATATTTTTATTACATTAAGACAAAAATGCAACTTTTTAATATGTCAAAATAGAAGAAAGCTTAAGTAACAGTGCATGTAAATAAACTGTTGAACCTAAAACAAACAGCACATTCTAAATCATTAAAGAAAATAATACAATAATAAACTTACACATAAATTATGTGATTAACGTTATACAATCTTATTTATTGCAACAGCTTAAACTGTTATGGCACTTTGAATTACACAAGAATCCCTTGCTTTTACAACTGCATTTATTCGTGGAACACTTCTTTTTGCAATGACAGCATGTATAGCCTTGCCCTCCACTTTTTGAATTAGCTGCAGCTGCTTCTCCAGCAATATTTCTTGAGAAGAAAGCTCACCTATGGAAAGTAACTTTTCTTTACAAATTACGAACTTATTACAAGTATAAAGCTGCTTGAGGGTGCCATTTTTGTTTGCTAATTTATAAAAGTCGAAGTCTTCTTTTCCAACAACAACCGCCAACACATTTCAGGCATCTGTACAGCACCATGGTCAACATCAGAGACTTGTATTTGAACGGTATCACCAATTTGAGCAGAAGGAAACGGCGAAGAATTTGAAGATAGACTGTCGCCTCTCCGTCGACATCGGCTTCTCGGGTGTCGTTTTGACCTCCACCAAAGCTTATCTGTGCTTGTCAACATACACCAGCAATTGTTCGAATGTATAATAATATAACCAAATATTCGGTCTTTCACCGACGTATTTTGTATGTGTCGACATTCACTGGAGAATATCAACATTCTCTAATTTCGGTCTTTCACAGTAACACATGCATGAAAGTACATTTCAAATTTGTGTACCTTTTTTATAAAATTTCTTACATTCTGTTGTATGTAATATAAAAAAAATTTATCATCTTCATTTAAAAAATTAACCATAACCAAAACTTGTGTTAAGATAAAAAATTTTATTCTTTATTTTGTACATCCTAGTTTTCCGGCGCACATGTCAAAACTAAAATAAACTACAAAAATCATCTAGTAATTTTTCAGTACACTCCAATTTTGATGTACTCATACCAACTAAAAATCTCAATCTGTGCATACAAACTAAGTTTGATAGAGATTCTGTCAATACAATTATTAGCAAGGTTGTGGCCGAAATTTTTAATGCAAAAATGTAAACGTCGGACATTCAGCACTGCCTTCCCGCCAAGAAGTTTGACAATGGCGTTTGGAATGTCGAGCATGATTCCATTGACGTTCCAAATGCCATTGTCAAACTTCTAGACTTATGGAAAGATGGTGCCGAACATCCAACGTTTACAATGAAAACTTTGGCTGCAACCTCGCTATTGTGTTCAGAGAAAAGTAAAATTGAAGCTCTGAATGAGTTTGTTGAGACCTTAACAGCTGTAGACCATGCCCGTAGGTGTAAAAAAGTCAAAGTAACTCATACGTCCCTTCATGACATCTCACAAAGAGTTGTATGTAGACTACTCGTTCCATTGACTTTTTTCCTCTGGTTAAATTCCAGATACGTATACCATCATGGCAGCTCATCTCTGATTCCAGCAAACAAAAGAAAGGAAACAGTGGGGACGCACGTTCTAACCTAACCTAACCTATTCTAATAAATTACCATAATTATTACCAACCAAATTATTAGAATAGGTTAGGTTAGGTTAGAACGTGCATCCCCACTGTTTGCTGGAATCAGAGATGAGTTGCCATGACGGTATACGTATCTGGAATTTAACCTTTACTCCTATGGGCACAAGGTCTCTTCATAGACCATATAGCAGCAGCTCAGAATGAGGAGCTTGGGACTATGTTAAGGCCCCAACCTTATTCTGAGCTGCATTTATAGCCATCTATACATATTTCATACTTAAATTTAAGCTTAATAATACATGTTAAAATTTAAATATATTATCACAACAAACATTTAATACACGGAATTTGTTTGTATGTATTCATATATTTGAATTGTGAAATTCATTTTCATAAGATTAAACTAACCTTTGGAGGTATATTTTTTCCGGGAACAGCTTGACTTGGATTATCCACCATTTTGACATTCAAAAAAATTTAATTCTACTTCCGGATATTATTGTATGTCGTGTATAAATATACATATATGTATATGATTAAACATAAAAAAAATATAGGATGAACTGCAATTACGAAATTAATTTAACAAACGAAACACTTGATGGCACATTCGTCCCTCCACATATTAAAAGAAAACACTAATATATTAGAACTAAATTCAAAGCTTGAAAAATAGCGCTCTCTCGTGAGTAAATAAATAAATAATTTGTTTTAAATTTATAATTATAATTTTATTTGGAGGAATTTAAAATATTTTAAGTAATAAAAATATATTTAAAGCATTAAAAAATTTTCTATTGTTAATTTAAACGTTTGAACTATAGATACAATAATTATATATATATATGTAATTTTTTTTTACTCTTTCCGTTCTGTGGGCATTAAGATTACCTCTTTTAGCAAGCCCATTATGGGTTCAACCAACCCCACGATGGGAAGGCCGGGTGGTGAGAGACGGGGCCCGACGTATTCGGAAGGACACCCGTTCCACCCGGTCCTCAGAGCGATAGGCTGCAGCATGACCGCTCGGCCATTCGATCGTCAATTATATACTGTATATCTACAGTAATTCTACGGAATGTGTCTAAAATTCAGAATTATTTAGTGCAAATTTATTCCATGTATCATGATCCGTCTCTCACCACCCGGCCGCTCCATTGTGGCCTGGCCGAATTCCATAATGGGCTTGGGCCCACCACTGGCCGAGAGGTCTTCGTACTCTGAACATTGGGAGCTCGGTCGTGGGTTCGCGCTCGCTCGGACGGGCTGGCCACGTGGAGTTTTCCGGGTTTTCTCCACGTCTGTAACGCCTAAACAGGGGCCAGTTTCCCTTAAAAAGACCTCCCGGAAGGCATCCCCTAGGCAGATCGCCCAAGTGTTGCGTTGCCATAACTTAACAAACAACAAAACATAATGGGCTTGCTATAAGAGGTCCTTTTAGTACTCACAGGGCAGAGTTAAAAAAATGGAATGGAGTGTATATATACTATATTTTCTAGGATCACGAACACGAGGTTTTGGGTACTTTAATTCTTTCAGCTCTGTGGGCACTAGGATATTTTTTCCCATGCCTATCGTAAGTTTGCTCAGGCTCACAATGGGGCCGTCACTCTGACTGATAAGGGAAGGAACCCGACATATCTGGAACAGACCGACCATGGAAAATTCCTAGGAAATTGCTCACTAGGATTAGATACCGGCTCTTCCAAAACAGTAGACTGATGCCTTAATTATTAACACCTTCGTTTATTCGGTCGTTAAATCGTAATATGTTAATAAAACAGTAGGCCATGTTGTATATATTTAATAACTTATTGGGGTGCAATTTGAAAAAAAAAAATTGTAACCTATAAATTTCCACTGTCGTCAGTGTCCTCCTTTAATCTCGAGAACGATATTAGATAGATGAATGTCAATACCGGACATGGAAACCTTAGGGGTAGGGGACCCCGATTAACTATAAACAAATTTCTGGTCTATACGGGAAGTCACGTTATTTCAATTCAAACATTTTCCCCTGAAAGATGTTAGATATATGACTGATACGACTTCATTGTTGAAGGAAAAGTATGATGTACAGGGGGCAAGCCACTACTAATTTGAGATGGAGAGCATATATTTTAAATTAAATTAATTAAAAATATGATTAAAAAAATTGCAGCCCGGCATTGTGACGATGCACAATAAATAATTGCTCGTACAGTATTTAGTTTTAATCCGTTTAGTTCCTACTTTGTATATTGTATTGTTACTTTATATAATTATATAGTAAAAATTAATAAATTGCGTTATGAAAAGGTAATGTCTCTTTTTTTTTAAATCCTACCTTTTTAAAAATCCTGTACAAAGGCCTAATATTTCAAGTGAACACAGGGTTTCGAATGTTACAGCTATATTGTAGATCAGGGACGGCTTCTTAAATTAATTAAGCTCCATTGGAATCAATCTAAAACATTCAGACTGAAATTGGTTCATATGAGCTACGACGAGATTGAGTCCGAAATGTAAACAAAGGACATTTTCCGATCGGAAAATGTCCGATCGAAATAAACTCCATTCGGACCATTTTATCGGAGGGGAACCCCCAAAATTAAAGAATCTGCTAAAGAAAGAGAAGAAATACTCACTTTGGTGGTTGCATGAAATCGAAAATGGATCCTGGTATGGACGATGCGAGTAACATCTTCGGATGTTAGCGGAATCGTCTTTTCGGATAAGTGCAATTTTCGTAGATTAAATGTTTAATTCAATTTTTGCTCTTCACAATGTTTAATTTTATTTTCAGCCCTCATCTCAGAAAAGCCAAAAGAAAAGAACTGGAGGAATTCAAGAATTTGGAGACATTGGAGTTTATAATTGTGCCAAGGTGGTACAAATCTTCCAGTTTGCCAATGTGATAAAAAGGGATGCATTTTACCGACCTGTGACTTTATTTACCGGACTAGACATCGTAACTCGGATTTGACAGTTCGCTTTGTATATGACCTCAAAACCCAAATCTTTCCATTAGTCTCGGATGTGACAGGATGATAATACTTCAATGGATTTTCGAATAAGCAGGAAAACATTTCCTTTAGGACTTCTGTGTATTAATCGTGTTCTTTATTTTTAATTTTAATTTTATCAATGAACTGGGTTTCGAATGTTTCAGAAAACCGATTGAAATTTATTTGAATTTTAATGGCCGATTTTTGTTTTAATGTCTTATATTTGTGCATATATATTTTAATATTTATATTCAATTAAATTTATTTATTTGAAAAATGTTTAGTTAATTTTATAACGGTTATCGGTTTAAGAAAGTCAATTAATAGCGAGGTTGAGGCCGAAGTTTTAAACGCGAAAACGTGTACGTCGGACGTTCAGCACCGCTTTCCTGTGAGTATAGAAGTTTGACAATGCTGTTTGGAATGTCGAGCATGATTCCACTGACTATCCAAAACACCATTGTCAAACTTCTAGGCTTACAGGAAAGCGGCGCTGAACGTCCGACGTACACGTTTTCGCGTTTAAAACTTCGGCCTCAACCTCGCTAATATGGGGCTGCTTAGCTACCGATTTTGCAACTTGTAATTTAGTAAGGTATAGTTAAAATCATTGAGAAATTATATAGAAAGCATAGTAAAACTTTTTGGTGCGCAAAAAGTGTTTAACTTATTTACTACCCCTATAAATTCATGTTATTTTTAATAACAAACAAAATAATTTTAAGATTGTCATTAATTAATAAAGAAACATTCTTTATTTTAATATATATATATATATATATTAAAATAAAGAATGTTTCTTTATTAATTAATGACAATCTTAAAATTATTTTGTTTGTTATTAAAAATAACATGAATTTATAGGGGTAGTAAATAAGTTAAACACTTTTTGCGCACCAAAAAGTTTTACTATGCTTTCTATATAATTTCTCAATGATTTTAACTATACCTTACTAAATTACAAGTTGCAAAATCGGTAGCTAAGCAGCCCCATATTAGCGAGGTTGAGGCCGAAGTTTTAAACGCGAAAACGTGTACGTCGGACGTTCAGCGCCGCTTTCCTGTAAGCCTAGAAGTTTGACAATGGTGTTTTGGATAGTCAGTGGAATCATGCTCGACATTCCAAACAGCATTGTCAAACTTCTATACTCACAGGAAAGCGGTGCTGAACGTCCGACGTACACGTTTTCGCGTTTAAAACTTCGGCCTCAACCTCGCTATTAATTGACTTTCTTAAACCGATAACCGTTATAAAATTAACTAAACATTTTTCAAATAAATAAATTTAATTGAATATAAATATTAAAATATATATGCACAAATATAAGACATTAAAACAAAAATCGGCCATTAAAATTCAAATAAATTTCAATCGGTTTTCTGAAACATTCGAAACCCAGTTCATTGATAAAATTAAAATTAAAAATAAAGAACACGATTAATACACAGAAGTCCTAAAGGAAATGTTTTCCTGCTTATTCGAAAATCCATTGAAGTATTATCATCCTGTCACATCCGAGACTAATGGAAAGATTTGGGTTTTGAGGTCATATACAAAGCGAACTGTCAAATCCGAGTTACGATGTCTAGTCCGGTAAATAAAGTCACAGGTCGGTAAAATGCATCCCTTTTTATCACATTGGCAAACTGGAAGATTTGTACCACCTTGGCACAATTATAAACTCCAATGTCTCCAAATTCTTGAATTCCTCCAGTTCTTTTCTTTTGGCTTTTCTGAGATGAGGGCTGAAAATAAAATTAAACATTGTGAAGAGCAAAAATTGAATTAAACATTTAATCTACGAAAATTGCACTTATCCGAAAAGACGATTCCGCTAACATCCGAAGATGTTACTCGCATCGTCCATACCAGGATCCATTTTCGATTTCATGCAACCACCAAAGTGAGTATTTCTTCTCTTTCTTTAGCAGATTCTTTAATTTTGGGGGTTCCCCTCCGATAAAATGGTCCGAATGGAGTTTATTTCGATCGGACATTTTCCGATCGGAAAATGTCCTTTGTTTACATTTCGGACTCAATCTCGTCGTAGCTCATATGAACCAATTTCAGTCTGAATGTTTTAGATTGATTCCAATGGAGCTTAATTAATTTAAGAAGCCGTCCCTGATCTACAATATAGCTGTAACATTCGAAACCCTGTGTTCACTTGAAATATTAGGCCTTTGTACAGGATTTTTAAAAAGGTAGGATTTAAAAAAAAAGAGACATTACCTTTTCATAACGCAATTTATTAATTTTTACTATATAATTATATAAAGTAACAATACAATATACAAAGTAGGAACTAAACGGATTAAAACTAAATACTGTACGAGCAATTATTTATTGTGCATCGTCACAATGCCGGGCTGCAATTTTTTTAATCATATTTTTAATTAATTTAATTTAAAATATATGCTCTCCATCTCAAATTAGTAGTGGCTTGCCCCCTGTACATCATACTTTTCCTTCAACAATGAAGTCGTATCAGTCATATATCTAACATCTTTCAGGGGAAAATGTTTGAATTGAAATAACGTGACTTCCCGTATAGACCAGAAATTTGTTTATAGTTAATCGGGGTCCCCTACCCCTAAGGTTTCCATGTCCGGTATTGACATTCATCTATCTAATATCGTTCTCGAGATTAAAGGAGGACACTGACGACAGTGGAAATTTATAGGTTA